ATTATATACCTATTAGTATATATATATGTGTGTGGGGGGTTGTGCGTGTGTGTGTGTGTGTATACACTTTTCTGGCGAGGTCCTTTAAGTTGGTTAACAAACAAGAAGTTCAACGGCTATATTGTTATTATTTTTACTATTGTATACTTAATCACGAGTGAACAAAGCTAAATGTTTGATACAATACGGGATGCTCTTATGGTTTTTTTTTTAAATACTACTGGCCAAACATTTACTGTAAAATAGAAGGCATATTATAATGTTGGGGATAATGGATGGGATTTCAAAATGAACTGAAAAGATTCAATTCATAACGCCTTAGGCAATTGTGTAGGCAATAAGGTGTACAAATCTGGAAAATTTACATTTACAATGGATTACCAATTCATGATAACGAAAATATAAAACATGGAAAAAAAGACCAGCCAATTGGTAGGCCCTATTACATTTATGCCTAATTGTGGTCCACTTCAGTGGCGGATCCAGGAATTTTAAATAGAGGGGGAAGGGAGAAACATTCACAGATGGAGGATACAGACCACTTCGACCCACCTATGGCCGGAAATGGCACTCTCAGACTTAAAATTTGAATATTATTTTTTTTTTCTCCATTTTAAACAAAAACAATTTTGACAAAGTCCCCCCCCCCCATCTTGAATCCACCACTGCAATCCATGACAGTTGTATTAAGTTTAAGTCACAGTGATTGTTGATTTTCTTATACTGACTCAACTAACATTTTGAAACGTTTTTAAGGTTTACGGTTATGTTTCTGTGAATTGCCCATTGAGATCTAAAATGACCTAGGTCCAGCGTCTTAACGCCTATGGGCTCTCGTGCGGCGGCCTACTTGCCCCCAACCCCTAGGGGCCCCGAAGTCCTAATCACATGGCCCTCGATCTAGTACCCTGACTCAAAATGGCTTTGTTGATACATAACAAAATAATATGTCTCGCCTCTGGCATTGAATGTATATCATATTACGCCCAGTGGCGAGTTAAAGGGGACCCATAAATGTTTAAGTTTTCTGTGAGTGCCATTTCCGGCCGTCTAGAGGTACCTTAATCGTAAATTTTCTTTTTTTTTCTTGGTATTGACCCTCCATCAGTGAAAGACCCTCACTGCTTCCCCTCTATTTCAAATTCCTGGATCAACCAATCGTCTTTAGAATTTTGTTTGAAAATAGACACCACATACCGGTACTACATCACTTCATATTATATTTACATTCTGTACTGAAAATTTATGTAATCGTGATGTTGTTAATGTTGGTAGTATAAAATGGTGATTCAAGCTTGTCTTAACAATGTTAAATCCATCCATACTTATGACAATAATGTGTGGTGTAAGAACCTGTCACTTTTAATCCGCACAGATCGATAATGGTCATGTTTTCCTATTAAGAATTTGGAAATATTAGATCTTGATTTTGACGCCTCAACTTTTTTTTCGTTGTTATGTAGTAACTCTTTTGTACAACCATTGGCGGATGCTAAGGAAAAAGCCGCCCCCCCCCCCAAACCATTAAATTGTTTTCAGAAATGTAAAATAATGGAGAAAGAAAGAATAATGTATTCACATTTTTGTGTTCTCGGAGTGCCATTTCCTGCCATCTAGAGGTGACATAATAGTAAATGTTCTTACTTCAGCCCTAATCATAGTGGGTCTGAGGTGGTATTGACCCTCCATCAGTGAATATCCCTCCCTGGTCCCCCTCTATTTCAAATTCCTGGATTCACCAATGATGTCATAACATTTAGGCTATTTCGTCGTCAAAAACATTATAATGTAATGACAAACATGATTTAAAAACGAGCATATCTAAAACACCACATTGGAATTGGTGACCAGGGTCCAAAAAAGGCCCCTGTCTCAGAAAGCCACTGGGCCTCCGGTCCCCACCGTTACGCCACTGCTATATAGGCCTATGTACTCATATTTTGGTAGGGGAATTTCCCCTACCCCATGGAATTTTCGACACTGAATGTAGTATTAGAGTAGAACAAAACTTATTGGACGTCAGCATAAAAATGACATCTTGCAGACATTTCGGTCCTTACAACATCGAATCCATCAGTTTTCAACGTGGTAAACATTCTTAGTAGTGGAGAGTGGTTGCTCAACTTGAAGGTGTGGCGATAGGGGATAGGGCTTTATGTTTTAGATGCACAACTTATCTTATGGTCATACAACAAACAAATAAATGGCTATTTAATTAATTTGTATTACTATATAGTGAAGAAAATTTCAAGCTTCATGAAGAAGGTACGGTTGTCCTAAACAAAAATTGCAAACCAATACCAAAATTTCTTTTACATTGTCCCGACATCGTCTACCATTTGTGCTAGTGTTTCCCGACGAGATGAGCCCAACCATGGTAGACTGAACTGAATATTTATATGATTTTTAGAGTGGTTCATTCAGCCAGAGCTAGATCAATCGAGCTATTTTACACTGCTCTGAAATGTTTTCGCACATAATTATGGCAATTATGTTTAAATTTCAAAAACAAGAAAAATAATTTTCTCCCCTTTTTAGATCTAAGGAATTGCGTCCGGGAAGGGGGCTGGGTGCTTGGCCTGTCTGACAGCCCTTTCTTCTTCCTCCCCCTGCCATTGCTGTCAATGATTAATATACTTTTTAAACAAGCTACACAGTGCATTCCATAGCGACACGTTAACATGAGTTCGAAATGAGTACACTCTTGGATTGGGCCCACTCTTGATTTGTCCCACTTTGGAAATCTTAGCAACGGCATTAGTTTCTGAATGTAACCAGGGAGTTGTTATAACACATCTCTGTAAGGTTGCCACATAAAAACGATTTGTTGTTGTGGTTAGTCTAAACGTCTTGGGGGTGAAAGAGATAGCTTTTATTGAGGAAGAAATAACAAGGATGAAATAGAAGGCTGGAAAGTTTGATTCGTACGGGAGATCGATCCGTTTATACGAATGGATAGATAAATACTGAAATTATTGTATATATAACATTCATACATATAAATACATAAATAATAAATACATAAATAATAAATATATAAATACATATATTGAGGAGTGGATTGGCATGTATGCTCCAAGTGAAGTAAAATGTAAAATCAATAATAATTATTTAAAAAAAAGATGTACAACCATTCGAGGTTGACTTGCGGAACACAAATTTATTAAAATATAACATAAACAAACTGATATTTCGATAGCTCCTGTTATCTTTATCAACGTCAAAGTGAGGAAACTTACCATGTTTGACGCCAACAAAGAACAGTAATGTCTTACATTGAACATAATACAACGCATAGACACAGACCATCTGTCACACACTTTTAAGTGATTTTGGTGCGACACGGTAAAACACAACTATCCCAGGTGTGTAAAAATGTGGTTTTTTAATAAATTTGTTTGTCAACCTTCAATGATTGTACATCTTTTTTTCATTGTTTATACATATATACAAATATATATATATATATATATATATATATATATATATAAATGAGTACGAATGCACATCCACGTATGTCTTTATAATATAAAATGAGTACGAATGCACAAAGTAGAGTCGTATACGTTGACATAATAGAAATAAGATAATTTTCGATTTCGAATATTTCGAGCACGCCTGTGCTCTTCCTCAGCGATAACACGAATGATTAAAAAAGCTTTACAAACTAGCAATAGGGGACAAACAATATAGCAGTGACTTAGATAAATCGTAAATGATCGTAAAACGTAAAATAAATCGTAAAACGCTGAGATTCACCCCCACCCCCCACCTACCGCAAATGGGCTGGGTCCATTCCGTAGGGCCCCACTAAAAGCGATCATATTATAGTCAAGTTCATTCAGCTCTCCAAGAGAACCTCCCTAACAGATGTTTAATAGACCGGAAGAGCGGAAATTAAGTATTGCCCATTCTTGAAAAACAATTTGCTATACTTACTACCATGTTGGACGCCAACAAAGAACAGTAATGTCTTACGTTAAACCATGGAGGTATAAAAATATTTTATACCTCCATGGTTAAACATAATACAACGCATCAACACCGACCCTTTGTCACACACTTGGAAGTGATTTTGGGACGACACGGTAAAGCCCAACTATCGCAACTGTGTAAAAATGTGGTTTATTCAATAGAAAAACAATCACAACGTTTGTTGTATTTAAATATACATTAGCAATAAAGTGTGCCCTTCTCAACTAATGGATCAGGCTGGAGCGATGTTATATCACTGTGTTTGTGTCAAGGGAATAGACACTATGATCGTCTAGCTGTTAATCCTGTAAGATCGAGTAAATTTGGTATAGAGGAATTTTAAAAATATATCGTTGGCCCTGTAGGCCTATGTATATAACTAAGATTTAATTGAATGCCATCAGCGTCAGTTTTATTGGTGAAATATTATATTGTATATTTGTGTCTCGTTTTTAATTAGGACTTGGTAAACTTTATAGAACATTAGACCCTCTAAATGCTTTCGATAATAAGTGCCTCTACTGCTACTAAAACGCATTTGGGCAAAAAATATAATTTTAGACTTCATCTAGGCATATAATGTGGATCTGTGCTTGGCATTGACTTTTTAAGATCTTTAAAAACATCTTTATATGTATTAATATACTAGTTAATTTATTAAATTGTTTTTATCTTCAGAAAAGGCTCATATATGCTATATTTACATACGATCAAAACAATGTTAAAATTTAAATGAAGAAATGTCATATATTTTTCTCCATACTTTCAAAGCATTAGCTATTATTGCTGTACTATTATTATTATTTACTACAATACCAAAGTTTGGTCATTCCAGTTGGTTTCAAACTTGGCAGAATATAAGATAGTAATAAAAAGACTGGGGCTATTGTTTTTTTTGTTCCTGTGTGAATATGCTAATTATTCATAATCGGGTAATTTAGGCTAATTATCATGATAATTGACGTTTGGTAAGTCTTACTGATTTTGAACTTGACAGATTGCAAGATGGTAATAAGAAGACAGAGCACTGTTTATTTTTTTAATATTTCACTAATCAGGTAGGTTAGGCTAGTTAACACAAAAAAGTTTGGTAAGTCCAATTGGTTTCAAAGTTGGCAGAATGCAAGATATTAATAAGAAGATTCTATTGGTTTAGGTACATGTGTAATTATGCTAATTGCACATTTGCATAATTAATATTTCACTAATTAGGTAGGCCTATTATAGGCTACTTACCATAACTAAAGTTTGGTAATCCGATTAGTTTCAAACTTGGCAGTATGTAAGATAGTAATAAGAAGCTGTAGCCTATTGTTTTTGACACATGTGTTAATTGCTCATTTACATAATTAATATTTCACTTACCAGGTAGTTTCACGTTACCAATGTAAGTAAAGTATGGTAAGTCTGATTGGTTTCAAACTTTTCACAATGCAATATGGTGATAAAGCGACAGTCTTTTGTTTTGGTATGTGTGTAAATATGCTGATTGCTCATTTGCATAATTAATATTTCATTGATCAAGAAATTTTCGCTATAACTAAAGTTCAGTAAGTCTGATTGGTTTCAAATTTCATGGAAAACAAAATGGTAATAATAATACAGAGCCTATTGTTTTTGGTACGTGTGTGATTATGCTAATTGCATAATTAATATTTCATTAATGAGGAAGTTTACCTTGCCATCATCATAATTCCCATAAAAACATTTAATTTAGTTGAAATTTTAATATTCTCCATATTGTTGTCATTGTCACTGTTGTGCAAAATGGTTCTTTACCACGATAACTAAAGTTTGGTAAGACTGATTGGTTTCAAACTACTACTCATTATTATTATTATTATTATTATTATTATTATAAATTACTATTATTATTATTATTAATATTATTATTATTATTATCATGTATCATTATTATCATCATCATTATTTCTATCTTGTGTGTATGTTTTTCTTGTTAAAGAATTGTTACTTAGACCTTGATTAAGTTCGCTATTGTCATGACAATCCTTAACTTTGTGTCAAATATTCATACAGTATAATAATTATTCTTTTAACTGTGAATTATTATTTGTTTTAATTAGGTCTTTAATGAGTGCCTACATCTTCTGAACTGCCCAGTTTGCTTCCAACAATACGATCGTCCAAAAAGACTTAAATGCGAGCACGTGTTCTGTTATGCCTGCCTTCAGAAGCTTGCATACAATGAGATGATCAAATGCCCGGAATGCCGACTGGTTACCAACCTATCGGCGTCCACCGTCAGCAGTCTGCCTAGCTGCGTCATCATTCAGCGATTCCTTGACGAAATTTCAAAAAACAATAATGACGATAAAACGTGTGATAACAATTATACTAATGGTCAATTGGATGGTGCGTTTGACAATTTAGAAACACCGAAGCATCCGTGTGTGAATAGGTTAAAAAATGCCATACGCCTGAATTACCAACCAGCTATTGAGCACTTAAAAGATCTGAAACGTAACATCGAACAGAATCTAAACTCCGTAAGGAATTCAATCGACTATTTTACCGATGAAGTTTTTCGAGCAGTCCAAGAAAGGCGGAAAGAGCTAAGGAAAAAGGTTGACTGCTACGAAAGCCGATGGTTAAAGCCTCTAGAGAACCAGATAGACAGCCTAGAAATAGAAGTACACGAAAAAATGAGCTTGGTTTTGGTCAATCAGTTTGCCTTAGAAGAGACATTGTATGAACCGGATGTAAGATCAGCAGTTGAACTTCTTGACATCATGAATGCTTTTGAGTGTGGTGAACTGTCATTGTCTGGTATTGAAACATTACCACAGGTGCTTAAGCAAGTTTCTAATCTAGGTAATGTTTCTGACGTTCATAATTCAGGGTTAATGTACACAACGGATCCTATCGAGAAAGAAGTAATGCCGGTACTTAATAAACAATCAAATTTACCTTGTAACTTTGGACCACGAGGGATGTGTATAATAAATAGGCCGAGCAGAAATGATGAGAAGTTAATGATTGTGGAAAGCAGCAATATGATGTGTTATGAAGTGTCTGTTGATACCAATGTCGTCACAAAATTTCCTTTAAATAATAGCGGAAAGGCGGTGTGTTTCATTGACGTAACGACGATCAACCATGGGAAAAAGCTTATTTTCTCTAATTTTTCTAGCCCAGTTTTGAAAACATTTGATCTGCAATTCAATGAATGTGAGCCTATAAATTTGCAGACCGGTAGTTCGTCTACATTAATACCGACTCCGTTTAGTCTTACGAGCGACCACCGCAGTCACATTTACATTACTGACAAACGTAATCACGTTATTCAAGTTCGCGAAGAATCGGGCGCACTTGTTCGGCAATTTCTGTGTCACGGAAATCCCGGATACCTTGCTGTCTGGAAGGATACATTGGTTGTCAGTGACGCAGAAAACAAGTGCTGCTACATCTACAGTGTTGATGGCAGGCTTCTATCGACTATTGATCAATACATTGGTGTTAATTTCTGTCATCCTATGGGAGTTGCGTTTCATGAAAAAGGTTACATATTGGTTGCAGACTATTTGAAAAAGTGTGTGTTCTCCGTAAGTATTTCTGGGCACATCGTTTCTGAGGTTGACCTTAGTGGAAATATTGACCCAGAAGGAATAGCAGTTCATCAGAACACAGTGTACGTAAGCAATCGTCTTAATGGAACAATTCTGAAAGTAAAATTATCCAACTTTCCGCCAAAATCACTATATCAAAAGCAATTATAAGTTCAGGCCTAAATGTCGGACAGATCGTTACACTTTTTTTTTTATAAGAACACTTACCTGTAAAAAGCTGTTTTGAAGGGTCATACTTTGACAGTAGAATTTTAAAACACAACTACTTTTTTATTGTGAAAAAATAACCAGCATCTCTTTGGAAATTTAATAAAATTCTTGAATTTAAGAGCGTTTCTTTTGAAAGTGGTAGAGTCATTTCCATGCAAAATTTAAATGTACGCAATACCTGAGTATGGGAATGCAATTTTCACGATTCCGAGATTATTCCGGTAACATCTTGAAGAATGAAATACAGTTTATCTCGATACAACAAATATTCATGGAATTATTATTATACTTGGATACAGTTGCAAATATAGGCCTATTCATGAAATAGATTAAAATATCCCAAGTAGAATATACAGTCCTCCCTCGTCATCACAAACAGCAGTTTCGTATGGTTTGAATGGTAGACAGACCGTTACACTTTTTTTTAAAAATAAGAACACTGAAGCTGAAATTGCTTTAAAATTAAAAACAAAATAAGAACAAATTGAGGCTGAGGTAAAATGTCAAATGAGGATTATATTTCAAAAACTATAAAACCTTTTGTTGCAGTAGATGGGATGGACTATGTAATACTCTAATACTCTATATAATACAGTCGGTACAGTAATATACTACTGTACAAAGCAAAGCATAAGAACACTGAACCTGGGCAAAATTTTACTGGTTCTTTTTTTTTTTTTTAAGTGTATCCAATAAAGCATAAGAAAAAGATGCAAAATTCCCATCGTGTGTAGGCCTACTCATTCGAAACTTGCCAAGCTCCGGTAATCCCGGATCCATCAAACTTGCATTATCTAGATCATTACCCCCGCCGAGGAGGTTTTAACGTATGTATCTTCATCGTTGTGTTATGTCTGTATATTATCTGTCTGTTTATTGGCAGGATTACACAATAACTGATGAAAGGATTATCATACAATTGAGTGGAGTGATTTAAAAGGACAGAAAAAGTCACAAAAATTTGAACGATTTTGTCCGAAACTCGACTCGAGCCCCGCATGTGGCAGTATTCAGCCTGAGGCACACGGGAGGTCTGCACTCTTGTTTCTGTTTTTATGTTTCTGAATAATAGGCTTTCAATTACTTTTGTTAGGTCTAATAATTATATTTGTTTACAGTATTTATACTTTATATATTGTTTACAAAACCTGTTAGGGCGGTGTTCATCGCTTTTGGTTTTTGAATGAATAAAATAAATTATATCAATATTGAGGTTTAACATGAGCATTTTTATCGGATAATAGATCGTGATGGCTTATCAATAAGAATCAAAAACGAAATTGATACTTCGCACACCATAAAATATTATAGTTTACATACCTCCATGGCTACACCCACTTGATGATATATAGTGGTTCTTGTTACTTGAGAACGACGAATGGTGGAAAACTTCGCTAAAATACATAAAAATTACAACATGGCCCTTGTAAAGGCTTAATTATATTTAACACGCCATCATATCGGGAAAAAGTCGGTCATTTCGTCGGGGAACACTGCAATGAAAGTTTTACAGTCTGAACGCACGTGCATCTAGAAGTACCTATTAAATTATGCCTTTCCTACATTCTTTCGCATAGAACGTAAAATTGACTGACAATCAGTCTTAGCTTTTCGTATTGAATAACATATTGTTGGTATTTTGGATGAAAATGTCCGACTGTGTTTAAATGTTAAGGGGTGCACTGACAACTAAAAATGTCCTGAAATAGCAATGTTAGTGTTAGTATTTTTGCTGCGAAGCAGCCAATTCATATTCTCGACAGCAATTTGACCTCTGAAAGGTCATTGTTTGTCAAAAAACAAGGGCCTAAGACGACTGAAAAGCGGAGTTTCCTTCTTTCGTTCTGCCGGGTAAAATCAATTACTTTAGGCGACGTTTGTAGACTAACCAACACGTACCAACGTCCACGTGTCGCGCTAGCCTTATCCTACTCTAGGCCTAGACTAGCTAGGATGGTATAGGCCTAGCCTTGAAGGGACGAAGGTCCCAATGAAAAACAACGTCGCTCCTTGATAGCTAACATTGTCTATTTAACGTCACAATAATTCATTATTAGACCTATAGTTGTTTTTTGAATTGTACTCCACAAATCTCAGCCGATACCTCGCACAACTCGAGTAAGGCCCTATAAAAAATATTATTAGTTTATCACCCTATCTGGGCAGGAAAAGTGATGAGGGGGGAGGGTTTTTTTATTTTTTATTTTGCTAAAGCCAAATATAATCCTTGGTTTGTTTGCTGGTGCATTGATCTTCAAAGTAAAACATGATTTAGATAATGCAAACAATATCTACTAACTATTTAATAAAATAAATGTAAAAAATAAAGAAATAAAATTTAAAAAATAAATTTAAAAAAAAAAAAATTTTTCAAAAATATTTTTTTTCTAGTACCATAGAAGGCATGCGCGCGAGGGTGATAAACTTGTAATTTTTTTTATTGGGCCTAACGTCTCGTATCTAATGTCGTGACGTCATGGCTCGCTGGCTCACACTTGCGATGTCTCGCACTTGTGATCAAATAACACGCTGGCTCCCACTTTAGCAACACACTTTGGCAGTCAACTCGCCCCTAGAAAACCCGCCCTTGGAAACTTGCCCCATAAAAAAATGTACACTTTCTAGACCATGCAGTCTTCAAAATAAAAATTGTAACCTTTGGTAATCAACTACTTTTTCCACATACATAGAAATTTTGAAAATTTATTTAAAAAAAACCTAAACCATAATTCACCACTATAGACACTTTTTGACAAAAATGACAAATTACGACTTTGTTACCCAATGAGAAGTGTTCTAATATAGACAATGGGTCGTGTCTCATATTATTTGTTATATTTTTATTATTCATTATTTTCACTTGACTCGCATAAACAATTTTGTTCGAACATTTATATGCAGTTATACTTCGCAGCACTTCACTTGCAATTTGCAATTACTAGTTTATGTGTATATATTTGACTTTTTAACTGTCTAATTATAGACCTAATCCCCTAATGGCGGATGCTTAGAAGGCCATCCGCCTACTTACTAACACAATTTTTTTTAAATAATAAGAATTTACAAGATTTGTATATCCGTTAAAAAGGAGTTGAAAAAAAACAATGCATAGTCTAGTAACCATGGACCTATTTATAGGGCCTGGTCCATAGTGTAACCAATTCCCATTGTTCAAATTTTATTCCTCATTCTCCATTATTTGTATAATAACGCGATAGTTAGTTAACGACAGTTCTGAATCATGTGAAATCGTCCGAAAGTTGAGTCATACACATGCATCTTTGTTAAGCCAACATATTAAGTCTACTAGGTCAATAATGCTTCAGTAGGCCTACAGCAAGTACAAGCAATCAACTTGAATACAAAATATGATATAGTGATGAGGTTGATTATGATGATGGTGACGATGACGACAACGATAAAGATGAATATGAGGAACACAAATCATTACCTTCATTAATAGGTCTATCTCAAGACGACGAAGATAAATATTATGACGAACACAGACCAAAAGCGTTTGTATAAACATATCCACGATGGATCAGATATAATTAGAAATAATTAAGAATTTAATAAAAACTGTACATTGTACATGAATTTAAAAAAACTGTACATTGTATATATATTTTAAATTATTTAATATGAAGTCATCGTAATTTGTGTGCATTTCTTGTCATTTTCAATTTTAAACCATATTTAACACGACCGTTTGCAACGGCGGCGAAACGTTTTTGGAAAGTGGGTGGGCCATTTCATAAGATCCAGTATGCGAGCGAAGTGAGTTTGGGAGCCAGGGGCCGCCAAGTTCACCTGTTGGCTTCTTCCACTGGAAGCTACGGATATCGGACGATCTTTGGTGATTTTTTTAAGTTATTTTATAGGCATGAAGCTACTGTGACTTCATAATTGTTGTATGTAATTCCCAAACAATGTCAAGGTCGGGATTGCTTCCACGATCACAATGAATTATTTATCATGATGGGTATTCTTGATATAGGTATTTCCCGACGAAACCTTCACTTTTCCCCCGATGGATAAAAATAACCCTTTTATAGAGCCCGAAAATGGTACTTCAACTTTTGCTGGTCCCGGAAGTGGAAATAGAGCGGACCAGGGAGGAAATTACGCAGGTGGTGTGTCCGCACACCTCAGGTAAGAAAAAAATATGATTATGGCACCCAGTGGCGTAGCTAGGTGCAAAAGCAGGGCCCCAGTGCAAGAATAATTTCCGGGCCCTTTGATGTCACGGGGGAATTCCCTAATTTCTCGAAAAATTCATAGTAAGAAGTGCTTCTTTTACCCCTACTCCATTAGTATTTATTACTAGCCTTCTTTATAAAGAAGACTAGTAATAAATACGGTACTAATGATAATCGGATTCCTAACTATTTTAAGAGGGCATATTCGGTCTCAGCTGTTCTAAACTAAACGAGAAAATTGGTAGCACATCAAACAATTGCAGTGGCTGGACAGGGAATTCGAAATAGAGGGGCTAGGAAGGAATTTTCACAGGTGAAGGTTGAAGAAAAGTTATGATTATAGTAGGCCTACACCTAGATTGCCGAAAATGGCACTCTCAGACTAAAATTTTAATATAATTTCCCGTTTTTCATTTCTTTTATAATTTTGAAAAAATATTAGGGGGTGGGGGCAGCTGGGATGCCATTGAATACACCACTGATTTAAAATCAACACAGTATGAATAATTACTCCTCTAAAAACCGAAATATTGAGAAACCCGCTGGCCGTTTTATTCTTAAAAAATATTAAGTTGAAAAATATTTTAAATTATTATTTTTAGGTCTATTTTTTCTTTAATGTCGACTGAGCTTCCCCTTAAATCCGCCACTGTTCAATATAACAATTGACAAGCCTATCATTTTGTTTGACAAATGACTAATTCCTAATGTTAAGCGAAAGATTTTTTATTCGAAATTTGT